AAGGTAGCAGGGCTAAGCATGCTGGCCTTACGCATAGAAGGGGCCACACACACAGTAAACTCAGCGAGAACAAATGATGATGACATATTCTGCTCCTGAGCCTCTCAGAATGTGAAAACAGACCTATTAAATATTATCTTTTTTAATGCACTAGTAAGGTCACACCTGGGAATAACTTTGCTTAGTTGTAGTGTCCCATAGCAGCCAAGGTGAGGCAGCATTGATGACTGAAGAGGGCACACATTTATAGGGTATTTCATATCATTCAGTGTTTCTTCCTGAGCTGGGGTGGGGTAAGTAGGCAGCTAGGATTGTTGTTTTTTTCACTGACTCCATCAGTACTTGGCTGCTTGGCAAATCTGAAAAACTGAGGAAGCCGGGCCTACTTCCCATGGATCTTTGTTCCTGCCTGTGTCAGCTGACAAGAGATGTACTCACTCCATTGTCCACAACGTTCCAGTCTTAAATCTCCATTGTTCTTTCTATGGTGCTGAAAACAATATAGCTCTTCTTAGATAAACGAACATGCTTCAGATTTAATTGACAATTGTATATTCCCATCTACAGAGATGCTCCCTGCTGGCTGCAGATAGTTGCCTTCAAAGTAGTGGAAGACAATGAAAATGGGGACAGAGGGAGGCATGCTAGCATGCTTCCCCCCTACATATCCATGGCAACCTCCCCATTTTTGTTATGTATTAATAGGGTTTGCAGACTACTTTTGAATATTACTCTGCTTTAAAAGGACTGACAATGTCAAACCAAATTCCACAGTCCACTTTTAGTAGAATTCAGCAGCAAGTCAAAACCAAGGCACTCTGGGTGTTAGTAACGCTACAGAATATTTGCAGTAATATTTAAGGTTGTGGGAACATTGCTATTCAGTTTGAATTCTGTCATTTGCCAGTTTTAGAGTCAGCACTAGTAAAAACGCATGGAGCAATTTTACTCCTAAGTGTCTTTTTCTTAGAATAACAAAAACCTATGATATATGGATCCCACTCATGTATCTCACTTTTTTTTTCTAATTTGAAAATGCACGTGTTTTCTACATGTTTTGCAGCTTTCTAATTACTGTTCAAAGGAACATTTAAGTGTTCAGAAGCACAAAGCTATTATTGGATATGTGTGGGTATCAATGGGACATTATGGAACCAGTGGTTTACAGAAAAATTCAGGCAGCAAAAGTACCGTACTTTTCCATGTATAAGACTAGGTGGTGTGTTTTTTTTACTTTAAAAAATGTTAAAAGGGGGGTGAGTCTTATACACAGGGGCAATGTCCCCCCATTTTCTTAATTTTGAGTCCACAAATATAGGGGGCGTCTTATAAACGGGGGCGTGTTATACACAGAAAAATATGGTAGTTTAACTGTCTTCCAAAGTTCAGTGCCCCAATCCAAATATAACCTGTTGAAAGGTCTGCAATTGCAGCCTTTTGAACACGCTTAGCTTGGGCAGAACACTGGTGATACTGCTAGTCAGCTGTTTGGAGAGAGGATGAATGAATCCCACTTCGTACTTCCCTGCTTCAATCTGGTTCACTCCATGTTTTGGACTAAAACTCTCATAATCTCTGGCCTGATGGGAATTGTACTTCAAAACATGTGAAGGGCACCAAGTGATAGATAGATAGATAGATAGATAGATAGATAGATAGATAGATAGATGACAGATAGATAGATAATTTTCCATTTATCCCATACTTCTTGTGCCCCACTGTTATATAGAAGTGTACCCAAATGCAGCTGAACACTGCATGCTTACTTAGCTGAAAGCCCCTTTAGGCTTAATGAAGCTTAGCTCCAAATAAGTGTGCATAGGAGGCAGTACTCATGTACTCACTTACCAGGGAGCAAATCCTATTGAACTCATTGAGACTTACTTCTGAGTAGACATGTATAAGGTGGCACTGTTAATTATTCTTTTGTAAATTTAATTTCTGTTCCAGAATCAAGTTTCAGAATTTTCAAAGTCTTGAATCAATTGTTTGCCAGGATCAACTCATGGTGAAATATATATGATAAAATTAATGTATAAACATTGTTAGATGATTGGTGAACTGTTAAGCTGCTAGGCAATTAGGGTGAGAACAGTTTTAAAAAGCAGTTTTAAAGCCCAATAAAGAAATGTGTTTCAATTATCCTAAACACCTTAAAGGCTGTATGCTTTAGGAAAACTGTTGATTAGTATACTAAATTTTGTGTAGTTTTTGTTTTTTTAAAAGCATGGGCTAATAAAAATGAATTATTGTATAAGGAAATTCATACTCAGTATTTTTTTCTCCTCTTCCTATGTAATAGACCTATAAAGGTCAAATTCAGAAGTGCTTAACGCGTTTAAGCCTTGATGCAGAAATTTCCAGCAAAATAACCTCTATGTATCCCACAAAAATCAGTGAAATGAGGGAGGTGTTACTTCAGCTGAAGCATGCATCCCAAATCAATGTTCCAGTGAGGAGTCTATTGGTGTGACTACCCTATAATGTCAAAAGAGTGAACTCATGTAAGAATTTATGAAATTGATTGGCGGAATAGGAAAAGAATAGGGGGAAAAGAAAGCACTTTGGAAATGCATAATTGACTTACTGCTGCAGAATGGAAGAGGAATCCCCTTGTTGTATGAATTTGCTTTTTGCAGTCTTACATGAAAAGACCCCATTTACATGAACAGTTATGTCCTGAGCTTATTTTCCTAGTAGTAGTAGTAGAAACATCTTTACTGACTAACATCAGGAGGGATGTGGAATAAACTGGGTTCCGTTTGCATTTTAATGTGAATCTACTTAATCTGCCCGTCCTGAAACACGCAAACCAAAATGGAGCTGTCCTTTGAAATTTGAAGCTCTCCAAATTTTGTGATGCTGTTCTCCAACAAATAATGTGTAGGGGGAAAAAACTAACTAAACTATTAGGGGAAAGTGTGCATTAAAATGCATGGAAGTAACATAAGATGTGCTTTATAGCGGGGGAAATTACTTTACTTGCAGAAATGTGCATGTTAGGCAGATTTGCATATGGGGGAGGGCTATAGCTCAATAGGAGAGCATCTGCTTTGCCTACAGAGGGTCCCAAGATTCAGCCCCCAGCATCTTGAGGTACAGCTGGGAGACAGTCCTGTCTGAAACTTTGCAAAATTGCAACTAGTCACTGCAGACAAAATTGAGCTAGGCTGATCAATGCTCTGACTTGATGTAAAACAGCTTCCCATGTTCACAAATGTATATATTGGGAGAAATGCACTAAAAAACTGATGTGTTTTCATTAGGACTTTTTTTATTTTTTTAAAAAGCGCAAACTGATGTGGAGAACCGAGCTTGAGAAGGGAAAAAATGAAAAACAAAGGGAAACAAAAACTGACATATTCGCCCATCCCTAAATATCAGTGAGCATTTACAACAAGCCTTTTCCTGGGAATCCGGGCTAGCATGAGAGTTGGGTAAAAGTAGAAAGAAGCAAATTAAAGGAGAGGTTTTACCAGCTTTTTATTAAGCCCAGGGTAAATGATCCTGTTCACAGCATGAGGGAACTTTTCAATACGGGCCTTTGTGCTTTATAGATGCAGAGGGGTGGGGAATCAAATATGAAACAAACTCTAGTATACTTTGGATCCTGGGCTCTGTCAAAAAGATGGGGGAACAAAAACAAAAAGCAATTTGTTTTTCACGATGTATGCCACTGGGAGCCAGCACAAATAATAGCAATTGTGTTCACACACTAAAGTTGTTTTGTGACCTTGTTCTGATAGGTGACAGCTTTCATGCTTTTTCCTACCCAGCTGTGCTTTCTGTGCAACAAATAGGTGACAGTCCAAGGCATAGCTCTGGAAGAAAACAGGAAAGTAATAAGAGAGCAGTTTGGGATGTCATTGGAGCTAAGGGCTGCTGCAAACATTATGTGTTTCCTGCAGGGAAAGCGCTTCCATGTACATTTTCTTGATGTATGCAGCTTTGTATACTAGTGGCAGCATTCTGCTATTGTTGTAACACTGAGAAAGAAACCTTTGTGGTTTAGCACTGTTTTAAAACTCATAAGCTACAGCTGTAAATCAGCAAATTAGCTAATGATTGCTTCTAGGCAGTGATACATGATGAAAAACAAATGAGGAAGGGCACTCAAGCATCACACTTTGCAGCTACAGGGAGGAGGAATTAAAATTTCATCTTTTTAAAAAGTTGGCATTATGAAGGACTGTGCCTTGATAACAAACTAAACCAAGTTGCATCCAAAGAAGCTTGCTTCCTACTAACTGGCACTTAGAGTGAATTGTTTCCTGTGGCTCATGTGGATGTGAATTAATTTGTTTCCTTTTTCCACATGGACATAATTGAAAAGTAATACTATGAAGAATGGTTGCCATCCTCATATCTGTAGTTTGCCACCAAGCGGTGAAAGCAGTTTCCACAGCAGCAGCACCAATAATGCGTGTACAGTGGTACCTCAGGTTACAGACTCCACTAACCCAGAAATAGTACCTCGGGTTAAGAACTTTGCTTCAGGATGAGAACAGAAATTGTGCTCCGGTGGCGCAGCAGCAGCAGGAGGCCCCATTAGCTAAAGTGGTGCTTCAGGTTAAGAACAGTTTCAGGTTAAGAACGGACCTCCGGAATGAATTAAGTACTTAACCCGAGGTACCATTGTATATCTTGGTATTTGGTGGCTGCAAGCCAGAGCCCCACAAATCCACTCCCTGGGTTGCCTCTCCTCCTTTAGTGACTGCCCCTCCACTGAGATCATTCAAATGCAGACAGGCTGCTTCTAGCTCTGCAAGACCCCAGGACAAAGTGAATCATAGACTTGTGAATTGTAGTGTTGGAAGGGACCCTGAAGATAATCATTCTAGCCCAACCCCCTGCAATGCAGGAATATGCAGTTGTCCCATACAGTAAGGTTACCAGACGTCCCCGTTTCCCAGGGACAGTCCCCGGATTTACAAACCAATCCCCATACAAAATCCATTGAAGTTGAAAAGTGTCCCCGGACACTTTGGAAAAAATCTGGTAACCTTACCATACAGGGATTGAACATGCAAGCTTGGTGTTGTCAGCACCACGCTCTATCCAACTGAGCTATCTAGGCTTTAAAGCTGCCCCACCTCCCCCAAGTTCTTTTTCAAGCACTGAAGACTTGGAGGAAGGGACAAAGTCTTTTCTCTCACTTAAAGTTTTAAAGAAGGAAAAAAAGTAGTGTTTGTCTGCTTTTTGAAAAGCCTAGCTTGAAGCAAAACAGACTACCCTCCACCTAATTCTTTGGCACTCAGAGGAGACGAGTAAGTGGTGGTCACTGGTCGCAAATAATATGTGGTGGTGCGTGTGATATTCTAGCAATGTTTAGGGAAGTTTTTAATAACTGATGTTCTAATGTATTTTTAATCTTTTGTTGGAAGCTGCCCAGAGTGGCTGGGGAAACCCAGTCAGATGGGCGGGGTATAATAAATTATTATTATTATTGCAATGTAACCCTTTTGCATAAGAAAATACTAGTAAGAATGCTCCCTGACTTTGCTTTGACCTTGAAGATCAGGAAAGAGTTGACTAAAATATATAGGTGAGCGGATGATAGGTCTGAAGTCTGTGCACAAAGGACAGATTGAGCCTATTCTGTTAAAAGGATATGTTTGGAAGACATATAACCCAAAGAGAGATATGCACTGTAATTCTGGATACCAAGAAAAGCATTTACCGGTACATTTCACTGGCTGCATTGAATTCTACCTAAGCACAGACTTGGTTGGAATTTCCTAGTTGGAGTTTTGGAATGTGGTTTTGAAGTGATGGATGTGACTTGTAGATGTTAAATGCAATAACGAATGCCAGTGACAGGAAGACAAGGCCTCTAGGTATGCTGTCTACAAGTGACGTGACACCCTTCTACAAAACAAAAATGACACTATTGATTTTATTGACTTTTTAATTTATTTATGTTTAAGTACAGATTGATCCACTCTGACAGCACAGCAAATCTGCAGTGACTTTGCTGATGTCTGTGGGCAATTTCCTATGTCCAGAAGTATGGGCACAGGTGCTGCTCAAATCCAATGGAATCTAAGTACATGTTAGTGGCCAGGGCATTGCAGTCTCTGACTGCATAAGAATGAGGATACTTTTGAAATTTTCCTTGCCTGACTTCCATCTTAAGATTTTATTTTTTTCCACAAAAAAAATTCATTTTATAACAAATAAAAAACACAAACAGAAAAGACAAACAATACAAACAAATTCTTGTCATATCCTTATTTTTCTAAACATTAAGTGGGCTTCCTCAAGTTCCACCTATCTGATTTTCATTTTACTTCATCTTTAGCAGTTTACATATATCATAATTTTCCCCTCACACTTACTTTAACCATAAAAACTTCACATTTTATCACTTATAAAATACACTATCTTCTACTTCTAACCCTACCAATTTTTGACTTTGAAATGATTTGGTCAGGTTGCCCAAGCAGAATTGGTGTCTTAGGAATCCTGCATTATTTTGTGTTGTACAGTATTTCAAAAAATTCCCAGAGTACACAGTGCATTCACAGTTTGCCACAGCTTTCAGCTCCTGCCTTTCCCATGTAACTTTTCTCCTCCTCTACGTTAACAATGTTCATATGTTTGTATACCAAACACTGCTAAAAAGGAGTCTTGAAGTGATTTTATGTATTAACGCTTCAAGATTCTCCCCACCCCACTGCCATGGCATTTTCTAAAACTGCATGCATGAACTTGTGTGTATTGATTAAAAAAACACCTGGGGGGGGGAGCAATCTTGACGAGATTATTGAAATGACTGTATCAAGATTCTGGTGGTTGTTGTTTTTTTGTGTGTGTGTGTTTTACAAACACAAAGACGCTCATGTGTAAAACATCATAATTTTTATATGTACTTAGTGCAGTGCTTCATTCACCTGCTCTTTCATATTGATAGTACAGAAGGGGGCAAATACGATGGCTTTACATGATTGGATTCTGGAATTCATTTAGAAGGCAGAGTTAAACTAGAGAATTCAGGAGATGAAAGCAGAGCAAACCCACAGAACAATAAAGGAACGGAATAGAGGAGATCTTCTCATTCTTAGTTGAAGACTGGTCATGGCAAAGTGGCATTTATTTGTCATTGGAGCAATCCCAACATTTGATCTCACTTTCTCCTTGTGTTGGAATCAGTCACTATAATATCTTGCTGTGTTATTCCATGAAGACAAGGAGTCAACCAAAAACATAATCCTGTGTTTTGAATAGGGATGCCTGACTAAGTACAAGGGACGTGGCTGGCACTGTGGTCTAAACCACTGAGCCTCTTGAGCTTGCTGATCAGAAGGTTGGCAGTTCAAATCTGCGTGACAGAGTGAGCTCCCATTGCTCTGTCCCAGCTCCTGCCAACCTAGCAGTTCGAAAGCACTCCAGTGCAAGTAGATAAACAGGTGCCACTGCAGAGGGAAGGTAAATGGCGTTTCTGTGTGCTCTGGCTTCCGTCACAGTGTCCTGTTGCACCAGAAGAAGTTTAGTCAAGCTGGCCACATGACCCAGAAAGTTGTCTGTGGACAAACACCGGCTCCGTCGACCTGAAGCGAGATAAGCACTCCATCCCATAGTCAAGTTTGACTGGACTTACCTTTACCTTACCTGACCAAATTTCTCTGAATTTGATGCAGACTCACCTGTGCCACACCTCTTTGACTAATGGACAGATCAGAACATAATTAATCCTAGGATTTTCTCTTTTCTCCAAATTTTATGTGAAATTACTCAGATCAAAAAAACACATCAGCATTCATTAAGTAGGTATTTTAGATTCCTGCTGTGTGGAAAATTCTTCCCTAAAAAATAAGACATGCACCAGTGATTATGTGCTTTTGACAGATGCTAAAATCTTTTCTTTTTACCCAGGCTTTCCCAGATTAGGGTGTGAGTCAAGTGTACTGTTGGTTAAGGGAATGTGAAATTATTGTATTCTGCTTTTTTTTGTAGCACTGTTCTTATCTTTTATGCAGTGCTTTGTAAATTTTGTTAATTGTTAAACCATTCATACATTTTTCAGAATAATAAAGCTAGAGATAAAATGTATATTTAGTTACATATTTTGTGATAAAAGGCATGGTTAAATATTACTTAAAATGCATTTTTTCATTCATATATTTTTTCAAAAAAATAATCACAGATAAATGCAGAAACAGGATGCAATGAATAGACCTAAATGTGCTTTAAATGTATAGTGTGCACACAGCCCAAGACTTCAGAGTTAAGCATGGATAGGAACTTGACTCTCACTTTGGAGAGTGGAGCCCCCATTCAGTGAGAGACAATCTGTGTGTACAAACATATCTCCTACACAGCACACTTAAGAGTATGGTGTGTGGAGTGTGGGTGGATTATGCCCAGGATCAAGTATATAAGGGAAAATATGGTGCTGGAGCTTCAGCCCAGAGATCCATGAGCAGAGCAGTGAGCTTGAATGTGTGGTGCTAGACCCACAGAGGCTCTTTCCCATTGATAGAAGGAGTTCACTGTAGCACCACCATCTTTCTGTTTCCCATTAACACTTTGGCAGGGGAAAGAAGGCTAGTGCTGGATTTGGGCAAAGGGCTACCAAGTGTTATTCTCAGGCCCCCGAATATATTTTCTACAGAACACTTGCAGAACATATACTCAATGTATTTTATGGGGGAGGTGGAAGAAATTGCTGGTATGTTAGCGTTTTAATAAAACACAACCTCCCAAGCTGTCAGCCAAGGTAATGTGCAGTGTGATATAGTAGCAACTTGGGAAATATGTGAGATGTTGTCAGTAAAAGAAAACCCCCAAATATCTCTTTTATAGCAGTCTCTCTTTTTTGTTGTTGTCACAACATCAAGAGCCACAGTATTTAACAACGTCCTTGTAAATAACCAACTATGCAAAAAGTGTACCACAGACGTAAGAGAGCAAACATCAATAGCACTGAAAGTGGGAAGGTGTCCATTTATAGATATCGACACATTCCAATTTGCTGCCCTTCAGATTTGTATATAATAAATGTTGGTATTATTATTATTTATTTGATTTAAATACCACCCTTTATCAAAAGATCCCAGGGCAGTGTACACCATTAAAAACATATTACAGAACATCAATGATAAATACATAATAAAAACAAAGTAAAAAGCATACTGACAGACAGCCTACTATTAAAATAAGAATCACAATAACAGTCCTCTCCCCATACACTTTTGCAGGCTATAGATTATTTAATAGCCATAGGCCTGGATAAAGAGGAATGTTTTTGCCTGGTGCAAAACATGTAATAATGGCGCCAAGTGAGCTTCTCTGGGGATAGCATCCTCGCCTGGGGAGCCACCACAGAAAAGGCCACTACCATCCTGTAAATGCCGCCGAGACCATCACACCACACTGACTTAAATGGAACAGAAGGCCTAAAGCTGTATACACTGTACATTTGAAACACATTTAGATCACATGACTTCCCCCAGGGAACCATGGGAACTGTAGCTTGTTAAAGTTGGCTGATAATTGTAACTCTGTGAGGGGTATTCCAGTGTGGGGGAAGCAGTATGCTTAAAAAGTGTATACAGCCCAAGTCAGTGCACTGAGGCAGGAAAGTGCTTCTGGCTTTTATGCCTAGCCAGCTGCAAGGGCACATGTGTGGCCAATGCTCTCCCAGCCAGCGAGACACATCTCCCAACAAGAGCTGCAATGCAGTAAACAGGTTAGCTGGTAGCTAAGAATCCTCCTGGAGGAGACTCTTGAGAGTCCCATGGACTGCAAGAAGATCAAACCTATCCATTCTTAAGGAAATCAGCCCTGAGAGCTCACTGGAAGGACAGATCCTGAAGCTGAGGCTCCAATACTTTGGCCACCTCATGAGAAGAAAGAGAAGACGCCCTGGAAAAGACCCTGATGTTGGGAAAGATGGAGGGAACAAGGAGAAGGGGACGACAGAGGACGAGATGGTTGGATAGTGTTCTCGAAGCTACCAGCAGGATTTTGACCAAACTGCAGGAAGCAGTGGAAGACAGGAGTGCCTGGCGTGCTCTGGTCCATGGGGTCACGAAGAGTCGGACACGACTAAACGCCTAAACAACAACAACAAGA